ATGTATATATCAACACACACAGAGATCACACTAACGTGATGCATCTAATGCATGTATGGGATGCTCCCGGACGCAGGTTCGAATCCTCGTCACGGCCCTTGTGGATTTGTTCATGTATATATCAAGTTTTCCTAACCATATGGCAGGTATAATTATTTACCTGAATTTACCCAAGGGCCATAAATACCAGTGGCCTCGACGAGGACAGGAAGCTGGCGGCTTGTCAAAGGTCCCATTCGCTTTCTAGCTGTATCATAAGGTTAGAAATCTTGATATATACATATCAACGACTTGAGAATGGTCCAGGACGGACCGAAACGTCGTCGTCCCTTCACCTTCTAGTGTGTGGTCTGGTTAGCTTACTTTAGCCACGTTATTGTGACTCCTCACTAGTACATATTGTTCCTCCGTGAGAGAAACATTTGAGTGTCGTGTGAGAGATCCCACAACTCCAGGAGACTGACATCAGTGAATTAACTTCTACGCGAAGGTCACATAATCTCCTGAATACTTAGTGTTCACACTAGAAAAAAAAGACAACATCTTAGTTTAGTTCATTTATTATGCAACCACTTGGACTGGACGGTAGAGTGACGGTCTCGCTTCATGCAAGTCGGCGTTCAATCCCAGACCGTCCAAGTGGTTGGGCATCATTTCTTTCCCCCGGCCAATCCCATATCCTAATCCTGTAGTCGTAATGGTTTGGCGCTCTCTCTTGATAGTTTGAGTTACCTTCCCTTCATTTATTATTCACCCCATACCCATCTTGTAGGCAACATCCTAATTACAATCCGCACAGATGTTTGAAGAAGAATAGGATGCTTTAAGGGATATTCCCGTAACCTTCGAAACAGCCAGGATGAGCATTGGCAAAGTAAAGGATTCAAAAGCTTCAAGTGTAAATGGAATTCCCTCCATAGTTATAAAGGAATAGACAGATGAACTGTGTCTCCAGCTTAAACACGCATTCAGAAAAATTTCTGGATGGAAATTAAAGCACACGGAATAAATAGTAACGTACCAGAATGAATACACTTATGGTTAAAGCAAAGGCAGCAAAGGGTCGTCCTAAATGGAAACGAATCAGACTGGAGAAATGAAGTGGAGCACCGCAAGGTTCCATCTTGAGGCCAACCCTTTTTCTCGTATACATCAATGAGAATGGGAATACTACAAAACGCAATATCAAATCTGCAGATGACACAAAGATCTATGGTATAAAGTAAGACGCGAACATGATATTGAGGCCTTATAAAGAGGACTACATAAGAAGACTGGCAAATGCTTTTTCATGTTGAAAAAATGCAAGACCTTCTTGTGGTATATAACAATACACAACAAAACAATCAAAGTAACATTACACTGCAACAGATTGATAAAAAGGGGCCTAGGAGTCACAGTCCACCACAGTTGACGAATCTTTTACGTCAAGGACAAGAAAGTGGTTATTGAACTACAAAAATCTCTAATGTGCCCACATTAGAGCTACTGTATCCAAGCAGGGAAACCGCATCTTCAGAAGGATATATCTTCCAGAACTTAGTACTCATAGTAACGATGTGGGCCATCGTTCATATCTTGACGTAACAGACAATTAGAAAGTAGAATTTCATAGCACTGAATTTGGACAAACCGGAAAAAGGTTTGTATTCATGTTAATAACGTGTATATCAAATAATATACACGTGGAAGATACTGGAGGTCCAAGTACCAAATCTACACAGTAAAATAACAACATACTGGAGTGAACGATATGGAAGAAAATGCAAGATTGAACCAGTGAAGAGCAGGGGTGCCATAGGCACAATCAGAGAACACTGTATAAACATCAGAGGTCCGCGGTTGTTCAACGTCCTCCCAGCGAGCATAAGAAATATTGCCGGAACAACCGTGGACATCTTCAAGAGAAAACTAAATCTTTTTCTCCAAGGAGTGCCGGACCAACCGGGCTGTGGTGGATATGTAGGCCTGTTGCGGAGACAAATGGGCAAAATGTTTCTTTCACCCTGATGCCCCTGTTACCTAGCAGTAAATAGGTACCTGGGTGTTAGACAGCTGCTACAGGCTGCTTCCTGGGGGAAGGGAGTAACAAAAAGGAGGCCTAATCGAGGACCGGGCCGCTGGGATGTTAAGCCCCGAAATCATCTCAGGATGGATGGGTTTGGTAGTAAGTTCACATATGGTTGAAGTGCAACAAATTTTGACTAGATGTCATAATAATTATAACATGTACAGATTAGCTGAAATTGTAAATGTAAAAATACCCGCTGAGTTCTAATTATGACTTGCTCTCTCTGTAAGCCTTTTCGCATCGCCGCTCACAGGATGAGTATTGGGTGAATAAACCAAAGACAATCAGATCAAAAGCTTGATCTGCGTGTTTTCAAGATGGGTACAGTGGAATTATTCTTCAAGTGGGTATTATAAGATTATATTGATTAACTGGTGATCTTGGCTGAGGATGTGAGAAGGACCTCTAAATACCTTCTCTATTGTACCGTGTCCTGCCTCTCTAATGTTTATTTCTTTAGATTTAGACGCGGCTTAATCTCAACTCCGTTTCCCGATGCTCACTCTCCATTTTCATCTTTCTCTTGACCGTCAATGGCCTCGAAGTTTACATCATTTCTCTACCCATGGCTACCTTGCGTTACCTTGCGATGATTTCAAGGCTTAGCGTCCCTGCGGCCCAGTCGTCGACCAGGCCTCCTCGTTGCTGGACTGGTCAACCAGGCTGTTGGACGCGGCTGCTCGCGGCTTCAGAGTTTTCAGTTTTATCTGGAGGCACATATCTTCCTGTGGTACCTCGCTTGACTATCTGGTTCTCTTCCTCTCTTGTGTTGTCTCGCTCGCTGTTAGTGTCAGAGGGAGGGACCCCCCCCCCCCTCTCTCTCTCTCTCTCTCTCTCTCTCTCTCTGGTTAGTGTCAGAGGGACCTGTCTCTCTCTCTCTCTATCCTCTGGTTACAGTGTCAGAGGGACCTCTCTCTCTCTCTATCCTCTGGTTACCCTTTGGTTCTTCCGTGACCTTCCCGCCGCTTCTGACGACTGTTTAATGATACTGACTTTCATCTCTGCATCTCCATGCATGGTACGCTACCTGCTTAGTTTTATTAGCCTCTAACAAGCCTGTTTGGTTGCCATCTCGGCTTCTCTGCCTTTATGCCACAAAAGATTTCGTTGTGTCTCGTTGTGTGACAATGGTTTCTTCCACTGTCTGATATGTATTTTAATTATTATCATATATATTTCTTTCTTTATATCCTCCTACCCCACAATACCTATCGTTAAATCTCACTTGTTTTTAGCTTTTCTCTTACACCATTAACGAACTCTATCCTCTTATTCAACTTTCTCCTCAAACATTCTAATGCTCGTAGCACAATCACCTAACTTCCCACTCTCTCTGTGGACCCACGTTAGCTTCGCTACTTCCCATTGAAGACCATTGATCGTCTCTATGAATTCCACACTTTCCTTCCTCTCCTTTCGTCACTTGAATTTTGTCTTTCTGGCTCGCTTAACTTCTCCATTAATTGTTTTGATTCCATTTAGCCATCAATTTAGTCGCCTCCTCCTTGCACTGCTTTCTCAGCTCTTCCACTTACTCTTAATCATTTCTATTATAAGACTCATTCCATTCATCAGAAGTTAGTCTCCCTCGTTATTCCTCACTTCGAACCTGGCTGGGGTGTCATGTCTCACCTTTTTCCGTCCCTTTTCTTTCCCTGTCTCTGGTCATTACATACATACATACATACACACACACACACACACACACACACACACACACACACACACACACACACACACACACACACACACACACACACACACACACACATATATATATATATATATATATATATATATATATATATATATATATATATATATATATATATATATATATATATATATATATATATATATATATATATATATATATATATATATATATATATATAAACTAAACTAAACAACTTTATATATATATAAGTCCTATCCACTCTACATTATCGTAATTATTTACATTAGGTGCTGTAGCTGGGTGCTTGAATAGTGGCTCTCCAGAGTTCCAAGGTCACGCCCCTCCCCATGCCAGCCCTGACTCCCCCAGTCCCTCCCCCTGCTAGCCCAGACTCCCCCAGTCCCTACCCCATTTTGTTTTGTCTTCTAGTAATATTTCCACCCTTATACAGTGGTAAGTATTAACAAACTTCAAGAAACTAAACTCTTTTTATTTGCCATTATATGAAAAAATCCTTATTTCACTCAATCATAAACCTTCCATTCGATTTAATGCCAAAATATATTGTTGGGAAATCCAAAAGCGCTTTATTTAGTTATCAAATATATAAAACAAGAAGGTAATAACGAAATCCTCACCACACAAGACTTCCATTTGATTTAGTGATGACTCTAGCCAGCATGCAGGGGAACTAAACTAGACGAACTAAGGAACAAACCCAGTCACTTCTGCCCTTGAACTATATGTTTAACACTTCTCTAACCCTGTCCATGGAGGACAGAAGAAAACGTATATATGCTGGTTAGCATTGTAAATGTGTGGCCACGTCTGTGGTAGAAAATAATAAAACAAAAAAAAACTGCTCGAAGGTCACTCGGCACAAAACACAATTATAAGTGTAAAACACTAATATGAAAAAGGTATGAAACACTAACATACAAGACTGTAAAACAACATTTAAGTGTAAAAATACTAACATCAGCAGCTGCGTATTAGCATCAATCTGTATTACAATATATATACACTACAACACTAAATAGCTTATTGGGGGTAAGGTATCCCGTTTTCTTTATAATTAGGCACGCTGTCGTGGCATGTCTCAAGAATGTGCATCATCACTTCCATCACCTGCAGCCTATACTGCTCTAAAATGACCGAAAATCTCACTAAAATAAATCGCCACTCTCCCAAACTTCCCCGAGCCTGCCCACTTCGCCAGATCCAAGACAACAAACAAACTTTAAAACTTACTGACTTGACAAATAATGTCGTTCAAGCACTTGTAAATTTCCCGCCACACTACTGCGTAATTCTTACACGTTAACTGTAATATCCAGCGTATATACACACACATACACACATATACACAGGCACAATCTCTCTCGGCGTCGTATAGCCAAGCTCGACTGCGGACTGTGTATGTGGGACGCCGCGGAGACTGGCGCTACTCCCTCCCGTACGTGAAGCGTACCTGTCCCTCCGTTCACCCGTCTTGAACCGTACTGGGGGCGCCTGAAACGTACCGGGGGCCCTGAAACGTACCGGGGGCCCTGAAACGTACCGGGGGCCCTGAAACGTACCGGGGGCCCTGAAACGTACGTGGGCCCCCTTCCCGTGTACGTCGCTGCTGCTACTGCCAGTCAGTGACCAGGGGAGACGAGAGAAAATATGTATCAAGCGGTACTTGTTTATCAGTGACTTCGCTTGGCATATCCTACTTACTAACTTTGTTCTTCCTGTCGTTGTTGCTTCCTGCTGCTGTTCCTGCTGCTGTTGCTGCTGCTGTTCCTGCTGCTGCTGCTGCAGCTGCTGCTGCTGCTTGCTGTTGTATGGCCTCGAGTGTACATTTTTTTTTGGTTTTTTGGTTTGGTGATATTCGTCTGATTGTAAATTGATGCTTCGTTAGTACCTGGTGAAGCACCTGGTGACCTGGTCAAGCACCTGGTGACCTGGTCAAGCACCTGGTGACCCTGGTCAAGCACCAGGTGATTTGGTCAAGCACCAGGTGACCTGGTCAAGCACCTGGTGACCTGGTCAAGCACCTGGTGACCTGGTCAAGCACCTGGTGACCTGGTCAAGCACCAGGTGACCTGGTCAAGCACCTGGTGACCTGGTCAAGCACCTGGTGACCTGGTCAAGCACCTGGTGACCTGGTCAAGCACCTGGTGACCTGGTCAAGCACCAGGTGACCCTGGTCAAGCACCTGGTGACCTGGTCAAGCACCTGGTGACCTGGTCAAGCACCTGGTGACCCTGGTCAAGCACCTGGTGACCCTGGTCAAGCACCTGGTGACCTGGTCAAGCACCTGGTGACCTGGTCAAGCACCAGGTGACCCTGGTCAAGCACCAGGTGACCTGGTCAAGCACCTGGTGACCTGGTCAAGCACCAGGTGACCTGGTCAAGCACCTGGTGACCTGGTCAAGCACCAGGTGACCCTGGTCAAGCACCAGGTGACCCTGGTCAAGCACCAGGTGACCTGGTCAAGCACCTGGTGACCTGGTCAAGCACCTGGTGACCCTGGTCAAGCACCTGGTGACCCTGGTCAAGCACCTGGTGAGCTGGTCAAGCACCAGGTGACCTGGTCAAGCACCTGGTGACCCTGGTCAAGCACCAGGTGACCTGGTCAAGCACCTGGTGACCTGGTCAAGCACCTGGTGACCTGGTCAAGCACCAGGTGACCCTGGTCAAGCACCTGGTGACCCTGGTCAAGCACCAGGTGACCCTGGTCAAGCACCTGGTGACCTGGTCAAGCACCTGGTGACCTGGTCAAGCACCAGGTGACCCTGGTCAAGCACCAGGTGACCCTGGTCAAGCACCAGGTGACCTGGTCAAGCACCTGGTGACCTGGTCAAGCACCTGGTGACCTGGTCAAGCACCAGGTGACCTGGTCAAGCACCAGGTGACCCTGGTCAAGCACCAGGTGACCTGGTCAAGCACCTGGTGACCTGGTCAAGCACCTGGTGACCTGGTCAAGCACCAGGTGACCTGGTCAAGCACCAGGTGACCCTGGTCAAGCACCAGGTGACCTGGTCAAGCACCTGGTGACCCTGGTCAAGCACCAGGTGACCTGGTCAAGCACCTGGTGACCTGGTCAAGCACCAGGTGACCTGGTCAAGCACCAGGTGACCTGGTCAAGCACCTGGTGACCTGGTCAAGCACCAGGTGACCTGGTCAAGCACCAGGTGACCTGGTCAAGCACCTGGTGACCTGGTCAAGCACCAGGTGACCTGGTCAAGCACCAGGTGACCTGGTCAAGCACCTGGTGACCTGGTCAAGCACCAGGTGACCTGGTCAAGCACCAGGTGACCTGGTCAAGCACCTGGTGACCTGGTCAAGCACCTGGTGACCTGGTCAAGCACCTGGTGACCTGGTCAAGCACCTGGTGACCTGGTCAAGCACCTGGTGACCTGGTCAAGCACCAGGTGACCCTGGTCAAGCACCAGGTGACCTGGTCAAGCACCTGGTGACCTGGTCAAGCACCAGGTGACCTGGTCAAGCACCTGGTGACCTGGTCAAGCACCTGGTGACCTGGTCAAGCACCTGGTGACCTGGTCAAGCACCTGGTGACCTGGTCAAGCACCAGGTGACCTGGTCAAGCACCTGGTGACCTGGTCAAGCACCTGGTGACCCTGGTCAAGCACCTGGTGACCTGGTCAAGCACCTGGTGACCTGGTCAAGCACCTGGTGACCTGGTCAAGCACCTGGTGACCCTGGTCAAGCACCTGGTGACCCTGGTCAAGCACCTGGTGAGCTGGTCAAGCACCAGGTGACCTCAAGGGTCAACGAGGTTTCGAATTCGAACTTCTAAAATACAAAACTATTATTCCCTCTAACTACACATAAGCAACACTTTCTAACAAAACTCTTTTTCTCGTTACTGCACAACCATCTCTCCTTTCTTTTTGTCCAACACTATCTCCCCCTTCCCCCTGTCCCCACACCATTTCTCACCCCCCTGTCCCCTCTATCCCCCTCCTTCGATCCCCCATATCACCCCCCCCCCACTGTCCCCCCCACACTAACACAGCCATAAAGCTATACTTAACTCATCGGGTAGACACACCAGTGAGCTAAACACCGCCTCTTTCCTCTTGCCAGCTATTTTTTTTTTTTTAAGCAGTGTTTCGAACATATTTTTAGTACCATTGTGCAAGGCTAATGATGGGGTCGAGTGACATTAAGGTTCTCAGCTTAATTGGCTGTATATCATTTAGGGGGGAGGTGGGGGGGGGGGTTGTACGGGGGTAGGTGTGTGTTGTTTGGGTACGGGGGAGGTAGGGAAAGCACAGCTATAATATCTAATTCCTTTCAAGTAACAAATATGCAGCTGGTTATAACTCTGGCTGAACTGAAACGGTACAACGCCAATACAAAATTTCTCAAGTTTGTGAAATATATTGAATAATATATATCAAAATGAGCTAATAAAAATTGAGTGATATGTTGACATAACAGAATTTTTTTTTAATGATGTGGCTTGCAATCCAGTGGGCGGCGTGGGGAAGGTTACAATCTCCTGCATGTACTAGGCGTGGGGAAGGTTACAATCTCCTGCATGTACTAGGCGTGGGGAAGGTTACAATCTCCTGCATGTACTAGGCGTGGGGAAGGTTACAATCCCCTGCATGTACTAGGCGTGGGGAAGGTTACAATCTCCTGCATGTACTAGGCGGTGGAATGGTTACAATCTCCTGCATGTACTAGGCGGTGGGGAAGGTTACAATCTCCTGCATGTACTAGGCGTGGGGAAGGTTACAATCTCCTGCATGTACTAGGCGTGGGGAAGGTTACAATCTCCTGCATGTACTAGGGGTGGGGTCACAATCTCCTGCATGTACTAGGCGTGGGGAAGGTTACAATCTCCTGCATGTACTAGGCGTGGGGAAGGTTACAATCTCCTGCATGCACCAGGCGGTGGAATGGTTACAATCTCCTGCATGCACTAGGCGGTGGGGAAGGTTACAATCTCCTGCATGTACTAGGCGGTGGAAAGGTTACAATACCCCTGCATGTACTAGGCGTGGGGAAGGTTACAATACCCCTGCATGCATATGTGTTATGTTCACTTCGTACATGGTTTCCGGGGGGCACCAGCTTGTAGGTGACAAGCCAGTCTTTCCAAGAGCTTTGTAATCATTCCAATATAGGTAGATCGAGGGTGACAGTCATCATTGGAGCATGTAAATTGGTATACCTCGTTTGATTTTTAGAGAGGGTTGAATTGTTTTTTCCGAGCTGTTCTTAAGTATTAAGTCAACAGTCCTTTTTGTTATGTAATAAATGAAGAAGTCCAATGTTTGGTCTGGGGCTGTCGGTTTCACTTCATTTGAAATAATATTTTATATTATTATTTCTTTTTATTTTATACTATGAACTCGTAGAGGATTTGTAATAGTTTCATGTGAGTGGTTGCTTGCTGTTGTAACCTTTCGAGGATTGACTTGTCATTCACGGGAGACATCTCCCGTCACGCAGGGTGCAGTCGCACCTCCACAGATCTCCAGTATCAGCTCTTGATACTGCTAATGGCTCAAAAGGGCCACCACTTACGAGCTATTCATGCCCGTGCCCCCTTTTGGGTAGCTTAATCTTCATCAGTCAATCAATTGACTTGTCATTTACAAGCTGAAGCCCCAAGAAACCATATGCGAAATTAGCGTAAGACGACAATCGCTAGCAGGTAAAGCAAAACTCCTGAAATCTGTCTCCATGTCACTATGCCTCTTTAACACACTGTCCCATGCTAATTGAACAAATGATTTTCCAAGTACTAAACTTTGTAACACAGCCATTGCATATTTTGTTTTAATTACAGCAAAATTGTATCTGAGCGTAAATAAAATTATAAACAGGTGAGTTGGTGCTCAAATAGATCGAAACTGAGTCTTGACTTTCATAGAGAACGGTACTAATTTATGGGATAACATTAAATATGTAGTATGTTAGTGCCAGCATGAAACTATGTTGATCTTGCATACATTGTCAAAGAACAGAAAACTGTTACGCTTATCGAATCATCTTTAACCAAGGACAAAGCTGACAGCACGGTCACCAAATCAGTTAATGACCACACCCATCAGTGTTTACCAGTAACGCGAATACCATGTACAGAGATGGATGTTCCCATAATTCACTTAATATCACTCATTTGCTGTTGGGTTTGGCCAGTAACTGAAAGGGTGGCCGCGGTAACATCCTTACCATTAACTAGGGTACCTCGATAAGCCTAAAAGACTTCATACTCCAGACGACAGGCTGCCGGATATAATGAAGGAAACTGCTGATGACCAAAAGGCTCATAGGAGACGTCTTCTATTTATGTTCACCCAAACTCATACATATATATGTCTAACCAACGCTTGAAACAATCCAGCGATCCCGCGTCTATTTGGTTATCCGGTAATTTATTCTATAAATCGACAACACTCTTTGATCTTTCCTGGATCCTAACTTATTT